ACTTTGGAACTCTTACGCTCGTTGTGCGTGTGTGCAACTACGATCGCAGCTAATATCTGGTGTGCGGCGATAACTTGGTTGGCGTGCGTGGCAGCGCGCATCCTCCGACAGCTCGACGTGACCAGCCACGGTTTGCGAGGAGCTAGGAGAAGCGCCATTTACTCTGGAGTACATACTCGCAAAGGTCGAATCTTATTTCCAGCTATCGTTCGTCGCCTTCTTATTTTATTCCTGTAAAACTTTGGGTTATTTTTTAATTGAATTATTTAAATGGCTTTTCCTCCACTTATCGGACTTTTTTCTCTTCTGCAATGCCCTGATCTGTTTATTTGCACAAACCACACGTTTCGAGATATCCTCGAGCTCGCCATTGTACATTAGGCTTACATTACCGCGGTGCAATTTATACTGCATTTAGATCTCCGAACTAAACAATACTGCATCACAGATGAGCTTAAGAATCGGCACGGAACAGAAGATGTGATTGTCGGACAACCAATTTTGTATAGTCTCCATTGAAGATGTGGCATTTATTTTTGTACATTCGTAATGCAACGTTTCATATAAAATAAAACGTAACGTTTTCATACTGATGCGGATAGTTTCTGGTTTGAGATGGTAGTTTTCATGTAATAGCTGATGTCGTTTTGCATGCACGAGCTACTCGCAACATATTATTTGGAATTTCAATTACACGTACTCACAATTTTGTAGGACAAGATATAACTGCCAATTTAAAAGAAGTAGTTTCATATAATTGTAAATGATTATCTTACGCTTTATGATTGTTTTGTATTATATTTGCTGAACTGAATAGTTTAATTAAGCTTTCAGTGCATAAAAACGTATATTTTTCCGCGCTAAATGAACTAAACGCATTTTTCTCATGAAATAATCTTACTGATTTCGATTTTATTTGAAAACTGTTGGCTACGTTGTATCGCGCGATTCATCTTTGAAAGGAACGATGAGAGGCATTGTTGAATTAAGTTAAATTGATTTTTAAGTAAAAAGATCGCGATAACGTTGCCTTTCATTAAAATCGTTTTTGTACGTCATATTCGAAACCATGGTTATAGACGAGTACGAGATCGCCATTTCTCTATTGGCAAACCTATTGAATAACCTTCCTTCAGTCACGTCTCTTTTAATAATTTAGTGATTATCTTCTCGTATTAAATAGTGGCATTTTACCATTTGATCGTATAAATTTTGTTGAATTGATTATTTAATTAGCTTTAAGTTGCGGCAGTATAAACATCCAATTGAAATAATCTGGCGTTCCGACTCCTCGTTAATGAAACTATCGTGCTGATTACTATTTGATTGGAGACTTGGCCGCTACGAAGCTTATCTGTGAAATAAACGGTGAGAGATACAGTTGAATCGTCGTAATAACGTTTCTTCAGCGCGGAACCTTTAATTTTCCGTACGCTTAATCGCGTCGCCGTGTCATTTCTCTAAAATCGTACCTTCGCTTTCAAGCCAAAAAATTTGAAACAATGCATCATCGTCGAAAGCTGAGAGCAGCGCGTAGAGCAACCGCAACGGGATGACATCCGAAAGCGAGGTACAGCAAGAAAATGTAACCGCATATCGCAGCATCAGGAGATAGAGCAAGTCGGAAGTAGGTGACTTGTGTGTGCGGTAATCCCGTTTTAGCTCGCGAGGCACACGCGCACGCGAGAAACCCTTTATTCGATGACGTGTCTCTCTCGCAATAAATAAAAGCGACGTGAATAACTTGTCGAGCTGCTTTTTCACCGACTCGCCTGGCTCTAGCACTAATAAAGACCGATTTTTACGAGTTTTTTTTTTTTTTCAACGATTTCGTTATTGCGCGCACGCCGTTATTGGGTTACACTTTCTTTTTGTTGATAAACGCGTGCTACTTCTACAGATTCTTCGAAAAAATGGCATATTTTTTTTTTTTTATCGAACTTTTATCGAAACTCTTTTACGATTAACGTTTCAGGAAATGGTACTTCTACCGTTACTTTGCCGCCTAATTCAACAATATTAATAATTTTGTCCAAGTAGCTTTGTTTATTGATTCGAGTATACGATTGCAAGAAGTAAAGCAATAGCCGGTAATAGTCGTACGGCGTGCACGCCATTTATATATAGAGAGAAGTTCCCGCGGCGTAGCTATGTGTAAACATCCAATGAAAGTCTAATCGAAGGCAATTTTCAATTGCAACGTGGTATGGAGGAAAGTCGCTCTTAATTTGATTGACACCTCGAGAAACGCCGAGAGTCTCTTGGCATTCCTAGCAAATTGCAGAGCTGACGTTTCCACGAAATTATATATCCATCGCGTTATAGCCTATCGAAGTTATTTGCATACGCGCACGATGAATTCCTGCTTTGTGCTGGCAGTACGCACTCGACTCGTGCTGGTTTTCCTTGTTACGCGCGTAAAGGGGCGATTCGTCAAGTGCCAATAGGCGAAGAGAAAACGCGTATTAGAAAACATGCCCCATACCCCTTCCTCTTACACTCGTTCGGAGTAGACATTATGTGTCAATCGTGTCCCGCAGCGTTTGTTCTCTCAATCTCTCCGGCCGACATAATTACCTACTGCGCGTGCGAGCAGCCGCGCTAAAACTTTTGTCTCTCCCCTTTCTTCTGGCAATTTCTCTTGGATGTATAGGGATAGCGCGCGTACCGCCGCATTGCCACGTCGATAAAGCTATTTTATTGCATCTGCCGTGCGACTTTTTCTTTTGCCCATTCGGATTCTCAGCGCCACGAGTCTCTCGTGCTAATATCAATCGACGCCAGTGAATTCGACTTCCGAAAATAACGAGCTTATCTGCCAGGATATAAATCCGTGTGCAATGCGTACGCTTTTGAAATGGACATTGCTTGCCAATGGCACGAATCGCCGCAGAAAATCTCGGCGACTGGGTTTCCGAATTGGATTTTCGCTACTGCACATATATATGATTATGGGCATCGGTGCACGCTATCTCAAATTTGCATGTATGCATGTACGAAAGAGCGATTGAAATCTCGGTCGCGCGCATTTCGCATTTTTATACTAAGTCGAACTGCGAGTGAGACGCCAATACGTATGTATGTTGTGGGATCATTAGCATAGCCTCCTTTGTACTTATATATAAAGATTGCAGATATTTCACTGTGGAACTGTTTCAAATAGTTGTTTGTAATGGTTGCGCAAACAGGTTATATATCTCAGCTAATGAGCTTACGAACGAAAATTTCTTGGCAAACTTGGTAATTGACGGGCAAATCACTTGGTTCTTCCATTTTCTCACATCTGCGTGATTTTTACTTCGAATATTCTAGAAGTTACAATAAGCGCTTCTGATTCTTCGATCAGAGCTCTTTCTAAACCGGCGTTAGTTGAATTGTTTTCCTTTTCTCTCGCAAAAGAAATTAATTGATGCTAATTTGCACCTCTCCGTTCTCCGATTTTTTTCAAAGCCGCTCTCTCTTTGTCTCTTTAAACCTTTCTCCTTTCTCTCGATCGCGATCCTGTGTCCTTATTTTTCTGTCATAGCCAATGGCTCAAGGGAACCGATACATACGAGGTATTCAACGTCATGCGACACAGCCAATCTTCATTATTCAGCGTGTCAAACTAATTTACCGGGCTTGCATATTGCGTATCGGTGAGCGATATTCTTTCCTATAACGGTATCACGTGCTTTAAACCTTTCTCGCTTTCTTTTTTGTTTTCGCTTCGCTGTATCAGAGCCACGAAAATTGACGTTCATTTGCCCGTAACTCTTCTCTTCCTCTTTTCTTTTCTTCTCGGCGACAAGCCAAGGAGGAATTTCTTTCATATTTTTTTTTATTTACGCCAGCGCACGAGAGCGCCGCACTTGTATAAAGTGACGCTTGTTCTGTTGGCTTGTTGAGCAAATCTGTTACTAGTTGTATACATCTCTCGTACTTTTCTCCGCGTCGATAAGTTACACTCGTTCCTACTCGACGTTGCCCCGAATGACGAATTCGTTGTGCGGGAATAAATAACAATGTTTGTGATTAATTGTGCGAGTACTATCAGTGAAGCGATCATCGTTCGTAAATTCGATTGGATTTACGTTATCAATTCATTAGAATGCATAACCGAATTCAACTTCAAATTATTATTTTGAAAGGAATCTAACCATATAAGTGAAAATAAAAAAAAGTGATAATGCAAGTCAAAAAAGTCCACAAATATCTGTGTCGTATGTTATGGAAAAATTGTAGTTATAACAATTACCTGAGATGATTACCTGAGGCATCATCTACTAGTCAAAAACTAGTTAACTATTATCAAAAGCTATTTTTTATTTCGACTCGCCTATCAGAACATTAGGTATTGAAATGGAATTGAATCATTATCACATAGGATTATTTAAGCAATTTGTTTATGCATTAATTCAACATATTAAAAAATATATTAACCAAACTCTATTGCGCGATTAATATAATATACACCTGTCAATAGTTTTGTCGTATATGGAGTAACTATGGCATCCATCAATTGACCTTTTGTAGTATTAAATATTTTTTCAAACAACTGAACTTGCTCTATGTGTACTAAATCAACAAAGACACTAAATCACAAGTTATATTTCCGTTGAATAAGCCTTCGCATTGCATTGGTCATTAACATCTATAAAATCGAGTATAAACACACGTGATTGCCAAACATAAGTCAAATGAGACTATCAGTATATCTGAAGCGTGATCAGATTATTCAATTACGAAAATCACGTCGAGGAAGTAGTGTGAAATTAGCATTGTATCGACCCGTAGCGCGAGAGCTATTTGGCGCGCTTCGAATCCGTTCAAAAAGTTCAGCAGCGCAAGCGCAGTACAGCACTTCAACAGCAGCCGACGCGCGTCGAAGATGCACTGCGCATCGCTTTTTGCAAGTACTGTTAGCTGTGTCTATGTGTGCGTGCGCGTGTGCGCGACACGCTCGCCTCCTCCTCGTAAATATCATGTGTCATCGAAAAACATTAAAAATGTAGCTCTGCGGGCTCTCACCAGTCGCGTGGCACTTTTCCCTTGACTTGGCCGGTAGACTGACCTGCTTTTTTACACGCAGTTCATATTGGAGCTTAAAACGTGTCTACTACTCAAACGTGCCTCTTTCGCTCCACTCGTGAGATGTAAATAAAAATATCCTTGAAAATGAGAGACAAGGCGGAAGCTAAGGAGACTACATCTCTTAAAAACACGCGAATTTTCCACGTAACAACTGACTGACATCTTAGTGGCCAAAAATGTGGTTAAGTGTCTTTCGATTTTACTCTCCTTTTTTGTGCTGTCAGCTTTTTAAGCTCTCGCTTTATTTTTTGCCATTTAACTTATGTACGGATTGAAATAACATTTAACTTAACCTATATCTTGACGTCATGCATTTATCAGGTGTTTTTTTTTCGTCACCTTACTTGGCTAGACGACAGTATACCTTCAATAATATTATGATAATTTAAGTATCATGCAATGACAGTTTATTACATATTTTTATTGGCGTTTCATGTAATTACATTAATTTATTTCAGTAGTTTCAAGAAGAAAATTCATAGTAAAGTACATCTTTCTACAGTGTCGTGAATTTTGTTTGTTTTTGAATAAAAATATCAACAATGATTAGCATTCTTGTCAGAAATTAATTGTTGAGTCATTGCTGAAGTAATGTCAATTGACTCTGACAGTGGCATGAATATTTAAAGTTAAAAATATTCTTAACTTTGTATTGAGATCCAAATATAATTTTGAAAATTTTAGTTTAAACAATATGATAATATTTTTACTGTACTATATAATAGACTAATTAATATTCCATTAGCTGAATTCTCAAAGGACATTGCTTGAATCAAATCACTTTTTAAATTTTTTATATATTTTCATATAGTGTTGATAATATCAATATTGACATTAACATAAAGTGTTTCAAGTTATTTTTATCTTTTATTTAGATGACAAAATGTTCAGATGGTCAACAATGCTATCAGGAGCCTTTTTGGCTCTCTCAATGGTGCTGTCATTTAGTAAACTGGTTATACTGGTGTCAGGTAATGGAAGTAATGAAGACCTTACGGAAGCAGACAAATGGTTGTCTGAAATAGGCCTCAAAGACTATCGACCACTATTTAAACAAAAAGGTATGCAAAATATTTTATAACTAAGTAGCTATCCCTAAAAACCATACTTTGCTTGAAATATTAATTTTATATATTTAAGTCACAAAATTTTTACCTTCATTATACTTTCTAATTTTTTTTTAATTTGAGTAAATAAATAAAATTGAAGTAATTTTAAGAAAAATATGGAACAGTATACTAGTAACATAGATAATTGAAATGTATTATACTTTCATTACTAACTCGAGTTACAATTAAAGTCTAATAATCTGACAGAAAGATTCATGAGCTGGCCTCCATCCAAATACCTACTACCGTACTCACTGATTATTTCAACTTTTATTCTACCATTATAACTAAATTAATTTTTAAGCAACTTCCCTGAAATGAACAAGAACTATTTACATAAATTATATTTATTTATCTATATAAATTTACAATTTTAAATACATCACTTTAGTAAATATATATTATTGTATATATAACTCTTTAAAATTATCACTGGTACGTTAAAAATACTACAGATTTTATCGAATATAATAATAAAGTGTAAGTAAATGTAAATAATAATAGTGATGAGTATTAATACTCATAAGCATTACTTCTAAATATATAACTTTTAAAAAACTAGAGTCAATCACTTTCCAATCTGAATACAATTCCAGTTAATCAAATATTTTTAAAATAGTAGATTTCAATTCATTCACATAAACTACATAAATGATAACTTAAATTACAATTTTACTGTTTGAAAAAATAGCATATTCATTTGACAATTCAAGAATATTTAAGTTTTCAAAATCATTATAATAAGTAGAACTTTAAATGGTAGTAGTCAATATTACATATTCTTTTTATTCAGTCTAATAAATAATCTATACATAAATATATAATCAATATTTATGTGTTAATTATTTAGCATAAAATTGGAAAACACTGCTAATAAACAAATTTTTAATAAATTTTTTAAACAAATTTTTCATGTAACAAAAGACTATTTTGTCATGTAACAACTTTTCATGTAACTCAATTTTTCATGTAACAACAGAATATTTTTAGGCAAAGCATTCATTTCATTTCAAGCAGGTACTATTTCATTCAAGAAACTTTTCTTTTATAATTCAATCACAATATTCAAATATTTCTTCTTGATAAATTGTTTCAAAACCACCATCTTCTTGCACTATTTCTATTTTGGAATTACTTTCTTCATGATTTTCATTAAAATTATCCAACAAGAAATACTTAGTATCTTTGGTGTCATTAAATGAGTTAACTATGTCACCAGTAGCTTCTATTGAAGTTCTACAGTTTTCAATTTGTTTATTCAAAGAACTTTCACTATTATTACTTTCTGTAAAAATAGAAATACTAGTTGATTTCTCAATTAATTGGGCAGCTATGCAAGTGTTGTCTTTGCCTGTCAAAACAGACTGATTCAATGGGTATATTCCACTCTCTTTGAATCCATTTATTACATTATTTGGTACAATTGCTTTTGTGTATGCTATACTAAAAATTGTCCCAACGCATTCTAAGTCAATCACTCGTCCTTTATTTTCTTTAGTCCATTTATCTTGTTCTTCACAGTAGTATTTTTTTAGTTCTGTCATGAAATGTTTTTCCAATGGGTAGCATCTATCAGATAACGTAACTGGAATATTTAAAATGTGTATGTTATGCATTTTAGCTTCTTCAATTAGTTGTATATTTTTCATACATAATCCTTGTTCATTCAAAAGTAAGAGGACAGGATACTCTTTAATTGGTTGTACATAATTTACAAAATGATAGAACCATGTAGGCAAAAATGTATTCTCTTGTATGCATCCAGATGGTTGACAGATGATTTTGGTCCCAGTTGGACATCCTTTTGCAAAATCTGGATTGTCTTCTTTTGAAGGATATATTAATAATGGAGGTATAAAATTTCCATTGGCATTAGAACAAGTGATTACAGTAAGAAAATTAAAGGTTGACATTGTTTTGTCCACTGCACTAAATATTTTAGAACTTAAATTTGGAATAGAAATGACTCCTCTATCATGAACGCTATAAATTCTATTTGGAGGAAATTTATAAAGCTGTTGTAAATTATTCAATACAGGAAAAAATGTATCAATATTGTAATCAACATTCAATTTGCTTGAAATGTAGATAGATGGTTCACTTTTACTTTTTTCTTCAATTTCATTCCTTCTTATAAAATTTTTGTACCAATCATAGCCAGCTAATTTTGTTTTTTTGTTGAAATTATGAGAAATACCATTTATTTCTGCATACTTAAATGCTATTCTACGAAGTTCCAATGGACTTAATTCACGTAAAGATAAATTAAAATCTTTGATATATTGCTTTAATTTCTTTTCTTGTTCTCCTGTAAATGTAGTCTTGAACGATCCCAACTTGAAATTTTGTTCTTCAAGATTAATATTACTATTTTTGGCTCTATGATAGTATCGTATAAGAGTTGATTTTGGTACAGAAAATCTGACAGCTGCCATATTAAATGACAGACCACCTTTAGTTATTGCAGAGATAGCTTGCATCATATGATTTTTGCCCCATTGCTGTCGATTTGACTTTCTTATATAGTTGCGTACCATTGTTAAAATTTGAATCTGAAACAAATGTTATTTATGATATTCAAAGGTTTACAACTGTAATATATGTGACACATACTCAAGAATAGAAACCAAAGTCTGATTATCTATTATTGGAACCTTACAATGTTAAATTACTAAAATTATACGCAATTTTATATTTTTCATGGTTGCAATAACAAAATTAATAAGTCATTGATAAATTTAAACAGTCATTAATTCATAAGGTGATTATTTTTAACATCGGATTAATAAGAATAAAACTTTTGCATTCTTTCGCACATAATTTGATTAAAACTTCCAACTTGAATACTTTTATTTCGAGGCTACATCCATATTATTAGATTACGACACTACATAATTGCATTGTCTACATGGATGAATACCAAAGAAGATAGTGTATCTGAAAGTCCTTAGATGGCGCGATCACTACTTTTAGCAAGTAGTAGGTATAGTTTCAAGTTTAAGAAATGAAAAACTTTAGAGCCGTACGATACAATTAAATTAAATCTCTGTTTGATAATTTTTTTTCAGAAAAATATTAATCAATATTTATTTGAAACTGATTTTGTCGAAAATTCTACGACAAAAATCGAAATGTGGCAAAAGGTTGTGTGGTGTATATGATTTCGTGTAATTCTCGGATTAATAATCAATAAAAAAAATTGTAGTTTTAATATTTATCAGAATTAAAAATGACAAAGCACACTTAGCGGACATTTGATGTAGAAATATTTTTTAAAAAAGGAAACGAAGCATAAGATTTTGTTGAACGATATCTATTGAAAGCCATGGTATATAAACTAAACTTGTGTTCGTTCGTTTTTGCAGATCGTGGCTTTGTCCTTTATTCTCGCCCTCGTTGTTATTTAGAAGCATCTTTCGACGCTGTTAAAAATAATAGATAAAAGATACGTCGACGAAATCACCGGTAGAATCGTACTTTTTTCTACCCAAGCGTTTACCCAAGTCTCGCGCTCAATAAATCAAAGCACACCATATTTGACAATATCATGAGCAGTGAGATTCGAGGCACGTGAGCTAATTAGGCAAACTCAAGCTGACCGCGCGCGATTCCGGGTGTTTGCGTTGAAATTGGCCGATAAGACAGTTGCAATGGATCGGAAGGACAACTAGACGCATGGCCCTCTCTGTCTTTCCCCTGGTTAACGTAGCGAATGAGGCATTCGTGCGCAAGAGGGGCAGGGTCTATCCTACATTGCAAGGCTCTACTTTGGGGTCAGTTAGTGTATGTGTACCTTCGAGGATTGCGTGCCAATCTGCTTCTGCGGTATGTTTTCTTTCTTTTATCGTTTCTCTTTGTTTTTTTTGCCCGCTTCAATGCAGACACTCGCGTCTTGCCACTTTAAACGGCAGGTCGAACCGCGAAACGTTTTCCGAAAAAAAATTCAAGCCAGCCAGACAAGAGTAAAAGAGATATTTGCAATTCAGGTGAGGTACACGTAGACGATGCACAACAATGGCAGTGATCGAGCGCCGCATACAGAGACTGCAATAGGCCCGCACAGCGTGTAATGGTGCGGCTGCTCCCTCGAGATTAAATAATGAATGCACCTCGTTCGCTCGCTCGTTCGGCCTTTCACAATCGCGCGCTCGATACATATTCCTGACTGTCGTTATGCGCCCAATATGTATATATTTGCACAGCCTTGTGTGTGCTATATTGCTGGATTTGTACATGTATAGCTATACCGACCTATTTTTTTGACACGCGTATTAAACTTTCTTGTGTTATTGCCACGAGGAATTTATCTTATCTTACATTATTGCTACAACGTTCAATTTGAAGTAATATGGACAAATGAATACTTATTCTTTTCGGAAATATGGCAGGGATCAGAGATTTTCAAGTACTTTTCTTTAAATTCAACTTTTGTGTGGCATGCAAAATTTGCATTTTATTTATCATTTCGCGTAGCAGGATTTCAATTCGCATAAGAGGATAGCTTCAAAGCCTCCATTATATTTTATGCGATACCAAAAATGGGAATTGATCCACTCGGGATGCTATCGGCAAATATAGTTCGAGAGCTATTCTAATACTTCTTTTTTTACCAACAGCCAAGCTTCGAGTATTTCAAATGTTTCAAACTTTTATACTAACGTTCAACCAAAGGCGGCAAGAATATATCAAAAGAATTCGATTCGCGAATGAGATGAATGAAAAAAGGGCAAAACTAACAATTGGACGTATTAACCTGAATTTTAAAGAAAAGCGTCCGCAAGCGCGACACACGGTAAACTCCATTTTATTTGTCCGACGAAAATACAATAGACGAGAATTTCACATCGGTATATATAGAAGAATAGCAAACCAAAGAAAAAAAATCACGTAGGCTTTCCACTAGTAAAATAAACGCGCCCGGAAATAAATGAAAAAAAAAAACGAATAGCTCGTAGCTGGAAAAGGTTAAAAACGTGTATGAAGCGTATGTCTGTAGCGGAGTAAGAGTGATCGTCGAGTCGGAAGAGAGTACAAGGGAGGTGCACGATGCCATTGGAAAAGAAACAATTCGAACGAATAATTTCCCGGCGTAACACAGGGGTAGAGACAGTGTCGAGCGTGCCCTCTCTCTCTCTCTCGTCGCGAGGAACCAGGTCATAGCTCGCAGAGCGCGTCCAAATTAAAATCCACGGAGCGCCGCGTAAAAAGACGAGCGTCGCAGACATTTGTAAATGTGTCCGAGCGCACTTCCGATTCGCTACAAGAGAGAGAGAGAGAGAGAGAGAGAGAACGGCCGTCGCAAGCTCGCCGTCCTGGCAAATATCAGTAATGAGCGCCAATTAAGCGTCGACTCAAATGGACGGGCGAGTTGATTTCTATCGACGCGCGTGAATAACGCGCGCGATTTTTCATTCTTTCTCGAATCTCGCGCTCGCACGATTCGAGTTCCCGTTCGCTTTCCGCGCACAACGCGCGCAGCGGCGAGAAGAAGTTTGGGAGAATCGAGTTGAGATTGGCGTTGACTGCTCCCGCATAACGGCGGAAAATTGGTTTTTGCTAATTGCGCAAGTTCTACGAACTCTCGTCTCGGCGGCAAAACAAAAGAGGAAACACCGTCGGCGCGCAATGCAAAGCTCGTCGCTTCGTTTGTATTTTGCGCTGCTGTCTGTGCGAACAGAGCTTTATGAAAAGAATCTCTGATAAGATGCTGTGATTGCGAGTTTTATTTTTTACTTTCGCGTGAATTATGCGGATTATTTTTCATCCGGTCGCGCAGTAACTTTTCCCCGGTCTAGTCGTTTTTTTCTTTTTTTTTTTTATTCAAGCGACAGTAACAATGAAAAGTAGAGAGGAAAAAAGTTGAAAGTACCACGCGCACGAAAATAATTTGACTTGCAAATGTCAGGATAAGAAATTTTTTTAAGCTCTAAAGTGTAACAAAAACTCTAAAGTATTCTCATATTCGGGCAAGAAAGAGTTTGTAAGAAAACGAATTACCTTCAATATCTCTACGCTGGCATGGCCAGAAATTCTCCAAACGACAATAAGAGGAAGAGCGGAAGAGAGAGAGAGAGAGAGAGAGAGAGAGAGAGTGCATTTGCAGAGGATAATATAAGGAGTTACAGTACTCGCGTGTCGTGTGGTAAAATCAGAGTGTATCGCACCGGACGAGATGCGTCTTCATAAAAGCGCGCTGCGCGACCCTATAAAAGAAACAAAAAAAAATCAACGTCGCGGAAGGGAGAAAGAAAGCAAGATATAAAGCCTAATCACTCGCAGAAAGGCAAACAATTCGCGCGGTGAACATTGGCGCTGCTGGCCGCTTCCGGCTAACTTTGCTGCAGCCGCATGAAAGATCGATTAATGCAGGAAGAACGAGCGCCAGAATAGTAGAGGGACACTCGCTCGCGTATCCTTTCCGCCAATAAACAGAACAAAAGTTCGGCAAAACTTCTCTCTTTTTCTATTCTTTTTTTTACAATCGCATTCGCTGTTTCGCTACAGCTGCGAATGTTTCGTTGTTTTGGCTCGTGGAAGCGCAATCGACACGAAATTTTCGTTTTCATGGACGATCGAGCGCGACAAAAATCCTTGCTGCATAAGTATCCGAAGTTTCACGTATAGCGTGAAAGGTCATCCTCGTCGGTCAGATATCGCAATTTCATCCTAAACTAGCCAAAATAAGATCCAAAAGTGGTTGAAAGTACGACAGCCCAAATGCCTCAGGGCATCGAGTCATCGAATGAGATTCGCTGTTATTGTGCATTGTAGTGTTAACGGCGTACGTTCGCGAGCAAAAAGCGCGTCTCTCGTCGAAAAGAAAATGTCCCATCAGGATCTAAATTCGCAGGTGTCGGCGTGAATTCTCATCGCCGAAGAATGTCAATCTCGCCAAACGAATAAAGCGGGGAATTTAGTTGCAAAATCCGCGCGTCGTAACGCACTTTTTGCCCACGATGAATACACGGACGGTAGGAGCAGCGGAGGGGGGAGGGGTGCAAAACTGCCGTAAGAAAAGCACACAGCTCCAGCGTAATCTCCGACGCTACGCTGGCATTCCGCAGTTTGGTGTGTTCGGCTTGCACCTAGTTTGCGACGGGGGGTTGGTCTCTCTCTCTCTCTCTCTCTCTTGCGAAGGTGGACGTGGTGGGGAGGGCACGTTTGGCGCGGGCGCAAGCTCTCGACCGACTCTTACTCGCGTGCCATACAGTCGAGCGTCGTGGCTCAACGCGACCGGATCATCCCGCGCTCGCTCTCGACGCGAGTACACAGTGACCCGCCAGACATGGTGTCGTGAGGACAATCGACGGCCGCATCTTTTCCGTAGCACGACAACTGGGGTAACGAGTAGAACCGTGAACGCTTGCGAGACCGTGCGCGCGCTGCGGCGACGGCGCTGAGCAGCGCGAATCGTCGCGTCGCCGTTGCTTGTTTTATGTTTTTCTGCTCCCGTCCTCGGCAATCACTTTCGCGCGCCCTTTTTTTTCTTCTTTTCTTCCTGTCGTCCTTGTCGGCGCACTTCCAATGAATACCAATTAGTTTTGCCCGCCGAATGAGTCATCAGTCCACTTCGAGTGTTGAGTTATCTTTGAAATCGATAGATTGTACGTTCGGTGCGATTGAAAATTAATCACTCTGATCCGTCTGGTAATCGTGAAGTTTTAAGAACCCCTCTCTCCATCTCGGTTGGTTCACTTAAATTTAGAGACGTTTCCAATCTGTAAGCGAATGATTAAGTTAACATTGATGGTTTACTTTACTCAGTGCCATTTACTTTTGTGATCGAGCGAATCTACCAAACTCGATTTATTCGTCGTTTCGCTGCTGCTTCACTATATTTCGCGAATTGCTTTAACGA